ACTCAGCACTCTTGCGATAAGGTAAATAGTCAACTAAAAGGTATAGAACGCATTCTGAAATGACACAACAGATCTGCCCCAAGCACGTGGTGATTAGTGAAACACCCAGGAATACAGCTGCTTTGCGAAGTCAAATGTCTTCTGCCCGCCGAATATGCTCTCGCTGCAAGTGTTACAGAGGGTTTTTTCATCCCATCTACTGAGCCGCAGTCGGAGGGAGAAGAAAAAGAAGGAGGGTTGCGAGGGAAGGGAGGAAGGAAGGGAAGGAAGAGAGAGGCTTCACGGTTTACAAGTATCGTGAGATGGGTTGCGGGCGATGCCGTTCCTCGGACGTCCTGAACTACACCCTCAAAAGATCCACCATTACGATTGGTATCTAAGGAGAATCATCTACAATCTGAACTTTAAAAATATTATTTCACCTGCAGTGCGTACGGCGTTTTCCTCCAGTGAGCATTCGTACGAACGGACATCGTATACCCGAACTAGGCGCTCACGAAATGCCAGAGCCACTAGAACAATTCGGTTCAAACATGTTGAATGGGTTGAGCACAGTATTTTCTAGCGAATTGTATGAAATTCGTTTCTTTGGCAAAATCTTGCTCCTGACCATCATATGTGCCAATGAATGAAGCTGCTGTCACTGGTGATGACCATGTAGAATCGAGAAGAACTTGCGGGGTATCAATAGAACGTTGTAGATCCCAGATGACGGCACCACCTATGAAGAATCATTCGATGAGAGAGTGAAAATGAAAAATTCCGATATTATAGCCCCTTACCTGCCGCATTCACACCAACAATATATTGTGCACTGCACTTTGCGCTCCATGTGAGAGCAAATACGGGTGGAGAGAACGGCTGCTCGGAATTCTGAATCGTGCGATAAAAGTGAATCGGATGAGGATGGAACTGGTTTATTACATAGGCCAAATAAAGTCTGAATGAGGAATCAACTTTACCTCATCTTCAGGTTTATCCAGGAATACATTCTTCGGCTGCCTTAGGATAAGGCCAGGTTCTGGGCTGACTACTGGAACACCTTGCGAACGGGAAGACTTTGATGGGACAGTGTTTGTATCTATCCTGAAATACGGAACAGTTATTTCTTCTTCAATTCATGGTGGGGCACCGAACAACGCGAAGAGTCAACTGCGACACTGTGCGGCGGCGGGGAAGTCGCAAGAAAGCATAGAAAACGACTATATCGTTGTGAAGCCTTCGAAGCTCAAGCATTTCGTAGGTCTCCTTTCTAGTACTAGTGGACTAGTGCTCAGTCTCTGAGATTATCCCACCTTTGCGGCTTTGCACGGCGCTGCGGCCCTCACAAGTGGCAGTTCTGACGCCTGCCTAGTTGTCCTGCCCAGCGAACCTCAAGTAAACTTCTGTCAGTTCAGTTTTGACATCGAGTATTTCGTTTGTTTTTTTCTCCCCGGTATTAGCATTGGATGACGCGAAGGAAATTGAGTGAGACAGAGGGGTGGGATGTTGGCTTACTGGCATAAAAGAATAGGTACGAAGAACTCGCCCAAACAGGCTGCCAGGTCCCTATTTAGCACATTTTCCTTTTTTTCATGCGCAGTCGATTGGCGACTATAGGTTTTTTTAACTGAACTGTTGACAATATGCAATCGTGGTTTACCTTCAAATAATCAAACTCTAACCTATAGATAAGCACTACGCCTTGCGCAGTACTCACTGCAAAATAGCCTAACAATGTGTCGTCAGGAGACAATCGCGGCCTATCCAACCAGCATACGTCGAACGCGAGACCGTAGTTGGATTTTAATATAAACCATGGTACGATACTGTTTGAGCTGAAACCCTGATCAATAAAAAATGGCGATATAGTGCGAGTTAGCTGCGGCACTGTCAACGAACCCTTGCTCATTACTGCTATGCAACCAAAACTGAACGAGAGTGTCTGCTCTCCTCATATCCTTCCCTACCAAAGTTGTCTCGCAAGGATACGTGACGACAGTCACGACTTCTTCACCTGTAAAAAATTATTTTGCGAAAATGAGCAACATAAAGAAAGCTCGAACCGACAAAATCATTACATTACCACTTGGCATTGCATTCGGAGCTACTCGAATAGCGTTTATTGGTCCTCCACAGTACGCAACCGTGACAGAGTCATTTCTCTCATTAGATAACTCCATTGTGCTGAAAGTTCGCAACCGCCGACATGACTCGGGGATTTCCTGCTGGTCCTGTAATATTAGCGAATTTAAAAGGTTCAGAAAGTGAAGCCACCATTAAACTGCGGGTCCCTCCTTGATAATTACCCAGCAGAATGACGAATTTACTCTTTCCAAGAAGAAAAAGCTACGTAATGATTCGCTCCGAAATTTGGTGAGGAAAGCATTGAGTGATAAAATGTAATGAAGAAGAGCACTTACCACGTGTCGCTGTTGCTCAAACATGCGGATGCCAACCGATTCCTTGTTTGAATTGGGTAGATGTGTCCTAAAAGATAATTAGTTGTGATAAAGAAACGATCTTCGAAAAATTCCGTGTGGAGAGGGTTTGTGATAGCTGTTAGAACTAACTTCAGTAAACGAACTACTCGATGACACACTCTGTGATAAATGGATGGGCGGAGACCTAAAATCACACTGCCTTTCTCATCAAACCACTTTTAGTTTTGACAGGGTATGAATGAGTATTCCCCAAGGGACTACGTCCTGCCGTTGGAGGGTGGGGGATTCCGCAAGATTCAACTTCCCACAGGTTCCACCTCTAGTGCGATCCTCCCCACTTCTTCCAACTTCCTATGCATTTTTCTCAGTTGCCAAGCTTCAACTTTTCCCAAGAACTGCCGTCGAGGGGGGGGGGGGCATAGCGCACTTGAAACAATAAAAAACGAG